TTAATTAGAGACCACTAGGTAAATTCATATTCAAATGAACTCACCCAAACACACACTCATATTTCGTGCGCTAATCCATCAAGACTGGTTGGTTCGGGTATCTCATATCCATCGGGAGGAGAATTTTGCGGCTGACACTTTAGTTGCGCTCGCGGCTGACGTCCCGGTGGGTTACCACCGCCTTTTACAACCGCCCATGGAGCTCGGGCATTGACTCATGCATGACATAGTCAACGTGGCTTATCTTCGCCATGTTCCGATCTAGTATTGTTTAGGCTTTATCTTCCTTTTTTGTACAAAAAAAAAAAAAAAAGTATATATTGTCAATTGTCCACAAAAATCAAAATCAAAATCATTAATTTCCTAATTCTAGGGTTATTCACTACCATCAATTAATTCATTAAGCTTTTTGTATCCACAATATTGTCCTATATATGTTCTCTTTGCGATCTAATTCATCTTTGAAAATTCTTTGGTGATGAGATTCCATGTTAATAAGTACCAATTTAATTTGCTAACACTTTTTCCTAATATATTCCAACTTTAATTCAAATACATGAGACAAAAGATATGGATAAATGCCTCCAAACTATGATCAAGTTGTCTCAAATGCTTTTCTATCTATACATATTAATATAAAGTCCCCATCACAAAAGAACACTACTGTGGGGAGAAAGACACAAGACCAGTCTCTTATTTTTAAATTTTCAAATTAATTATATATCTATAATTAATGGAAGATGCTACGGTCCCGTTACAGAACTATTCCGTTGGAGTTTGTAACCTTTACATCAACTATCTCTGATGGTTATATGATGATCTAACGGTTACAAACCCCGACGAAATGGTTTCGTAACGAGACCTTAGCAATTCTCATATTTTTTATATTCATCAGTTTTGTATGCTAAACTTTACTACATTTATAATTATATATATTAATTAATTGCATATAATTAGCAGTTTGCATAATAATGACCTAATCTCTATGATAAAAGCAATAATTAATATAGTATAAATCTTTATCGGATCCCAATGAACAGATTTTACCTTTATATGCTTTTGAGCATGCAAAAAGAAAAGTGGTGCCTGCAAAGTACGTCAAAATTCCCTCACTTTTCCTATTCTCTATAAATTTGATTTAAATTTTTAAATTTTTTAACTAATAAAGTTCACACTAATTTGATTTAAATTTTTTATTACTTTTTTTTTTTAAATTTTTTGGCTTAAAAAATAAGTTGTTTTAGTAGAAAAAGTTGAAGGAGCAAGGCTCAAGAAAGAGACTGGAACATGCAAATGTCACGATTATTATTATTTTATTATTTTTCTTTTTTCAGGGCTTGCAACAATTATTTAGCATTAATATTATTCAATATTATAAAATTTTTATATATTTGTTATTACTACTATTGTTTTATTTATTTTTTATTACTTTATCTGTTATATATAATATAATAAGAGAGGAACGTAATGCATGGCCAATTAATCAAAAAATGGCCTTTTGTATACATGTTCATATTGTTTATCGACATCAATTAGTTTTAATATTCCAAAATATTACGGTCCCGTTATGGAACCATTCTGTCGGTGTTTGCAATCGTTAGATCATCATGTAATCGTCGAGGATAATTGATCTAACGGTTACAAACCCCGACGGAGTGATTCCGTAACGAGACCTTAGCATCTCCCTTTAATATTTTCGGTCATTAATTATTTACGAGCATTTATTAGAAATGATAAACACACTCCTTATTTGTCAACTGATGTACATCATAAAAAGATAATAATAATAATAATAATAATAATAATAATAATAATAATAATAATAATAATAATAATAATAAATATAATAATAATAATAATAATAATAATTCTAGTATGTGATATATAGAGCTTAATTTCATATATTTTCTACATTGACAATCAAATAAAATAATTAATTCAACAAAATCATAACCCTAATTAATCAAATCATATTTAAGATACACAAACTTATAAAACATATCAAATCATATATTCATATATATCACCGCATGCACGCATGATTATTACAACGCAAATCACGTTCGCATGTTCCAAATTTTAATAGGTGTTACTATTCAATAAAAACATGGCAAACAAAGTCAAAATTAAGTCAACTAATTATTGTTAATATATAAAAGTTGATCACTCATCAATAACTCGACTTTCAACTAGAAATTAAAAAAATAAAAAGGATGAATTTATGATTTATTTCATGTGACATTAATGGATATTGATTATTTTGGATTAAACAGTGCCTGACTGGATAATAACACCGACCTAAATCAACCGGACAAAGACCCATAAGACAAGGGTCGAGTAGGTCTAATGGCCGAGCCGGATGAAAAGGACCGTTGGGGTTCGACCGGCTCAACGGTTGAACAAAGGTCTTGGGTCGAGCGGGAGTTCGACCGGCTCAATGGTCGAGCTAAGGTCTTGGGTCGAACGGGAGTTCGACCGGGTCAACAGTCGAACAAAGGTACTAGAGCGAGTGAGAATCGACTGAACCAAGCAGTTCGACCCATATGTCTGGGCATCGATCAAGCTGCACTTGGTCGATAGGTATCCGAGGATTTATGACCCAAGAAGGGACTCCGTAAGGTAGAACACTATATATGTGTTGAATCTCACAGTTTGTAGGTAAGATTTTATTAATATCATTACTACTACATTCAATACATACATTATCCTTCTACTCCAAGATACTGACTTGGGAGTCGGAGAGTTTTGCGCTGGAGCAATTCCGACGCTTTGCAGGTACCAACGAACTCATACGCTTGGACGGACCAAACCAGCTAACTCACAATTCACATCGAAGAGATGAACTCTTTGAAGGACCGGAGTCGTTATCTCGGACCATATCACTGCCATAGTAAAAAATTAATTGTGTTTATCAACATAATCATTCATTTAAAAAGTTATTATTATAGCTACTTAATTAGCATATAATGGTGAAGGTTCATGATATGATGAGATTAGATTTGGATAATCAAATGTCACGCCACTATTTATTTGACTTTTAAAGCAAAATCTTATCTCTTAATTATGCTTTATTTTTTATTTTGGTTTATTTTATTGGGTTTTCCAAATGAAGTAATAATCAATATATAAAGCAGTTTGGACTAAAACGCTATCCTTTTTTATTATGCAAGTGATTATGATATTTTATTATGGTCTTTTTGCTACCTCGGTACAGCTGGCAATTGTGACTTTTTTTTTTTTTTTTTTTTATATTGAGTATTGAGTGAAAGAATTTTATTTTAATAAAAGAAAAAAAAAAACACATAAGAATTTTAAATATATTTTCCAAATCAAATTAAATTGATAAATAGGGGTGATGAAATTATTTCGTAGTGTGATTTTGTATTAAACCGTACCGAGGCTCTGTTAATTATTACCGTTATTTATTTTTATTTTTTAATAAAAAAGACATGCGAACCTTTTCAAAGAAATAAAAATAACATTGGCATCATATATATACAAACACATAAATACATGAAATGATTCTTTTTGGTTGATATTGTTTAGGAAATAATATTACAAAGACAAGCATTTATATAATATATATCATGAACTTTATGAAGAATTAATTCATATCTTATTATCTTAGCTAGTTTAGATTAATCCCTTTCTATATTAATTGAGAACGTGCTAAGCCTAAGTGGTAGACTTGTATGTTTCGAAATCTTATGTAGCAAAATTACATATTTCGGTATTAACCTTAAGTATATTTTAATTAACTTTCAATCCTGAAACGTATAATTCCTACGGAGTGCGCTTATCGATGGTATGAACTAAAAAATGCGGAAGCAATAAACCGAAGATTTTAAAACTCTTCAGGGAAGCGTCCCACTTCCCCTCAGAGCTCTTTCATTGATAGATCAAACATACACATAGCTTGGACTTACAACGACTCGAACTCCCTTCAAGCCTAGCCAACACTACACAGATCCTATCAACTAATTCTCCGGCCACGTCCCGTGGACTTTTTAAAAACCTACACTTACTCCCTAAGTGTATAAGCTGTAAAATAGTTTTTGGATGAAACACAAAGAACAAAATAAAACAGCTTCAGTCCTTGAGCTAGTTCGAACTCTCAGACTGAACTGTGTACAACTCAATAATCAAAAAACACGAAGCTCAATTATTGCTTTATAAATCTTCAAAACTCAGCAGCCGCAATGAGAGCTTGCATACGGGTATTTAAAAGAATCTCCTTAGGGTTGGAGTCTTCTACAAGGCATAGGACTCCAACCTTGATTTCTTTCCTTGATTATAGCATTAGAATTTGGTAAGTGAATCTTCTTCTCTCTCTCCTTGATCTCTTTATCATACACGCCTCTCCCTTCATTATCTCATCCGATTTCCTACAAATCAAAGTACCATAATAAGATCCATAAAATCTTATTTATGGAATATAAAATAATCGTAATTAAGGAAACAAATAAGCAAAGATC